GTACGGCGGCTACGAGATGCTCCCGTTTATGATAAGCTCATCTAAAAAGGTGGACGGCAAGAAGGTGGACCTGTTTCGCGCAATGATGAACGCCGCAACGAAGGAGACTAGCTTCTTTGACATTTTACTGGCGGCGGTCGATGCCGCGGCACCTATGGAAGGGTCCACTACGCGGAGGCGAGCGGCCGCAATGTCCAAGGACTGGCCCAAGGCGAACGAGCGTCGGCAGAAAGTAGAGGAGATTGTCACGAAATACCTGAAGCTGCTTCAGTACACCGCGCTCTACACCACGCAGCAGGACCGGCTAGCGTGGTACGTAAAGCCCGTAGAGTTTGTGTACGAAGACCGCGTGGTAGAGAGGGACGCGACAACAAACGCTTTCGTCACGCGACCGATCACGACCATGGGGCAGAACAAGGCGTGCCGCGTGAGTCTCGCCGACGCTGCGAGCGTCATAAGGGCCCTAAAGGCCAGCGACGCGTTGGAATCTGCGGTGGACATACGAGCTTACGTTATCGAATCTAGCGGCGAACACCTTGCGGTTTCCAGCGCCATCAAGGCGCTTTCGGCGCTCTACATGATGGGTGCTATGGAGTTTGATGACGACTACGACAATTGGTCGGACGTGGAAGCCCTTGCTGCCGTCTACAAGTGGTACGAGACCCGCTGTCTGTGTCCCTGCATCAAGACGATGGATCTACGACGCGTCTTGTGCATCTTTAGACAGAGCAGCGACTGGTCTCGCACGTTCACCACTAGCCTCATCAGACGGGCCTATAAGAAGAACAAGCGGCGACTGAGCAACCTTCGATTTCCTAGTTTCGACGCCATTTACAACGACATGTTGTGAATAAAAGAACGTTTCTTTGGACACACACACACACAGACGCACACACATAGAGACACAGATGTATAGCAGCGTGCAAGCTAGCGTAAGCGTTTATTTTAGGCAAAGCAGACAAACACAAGCGAAAGCGAGTCACTTCTTGTAATACGACACTTTGTAAATGCCATAGTCGTTGGTGGACGTAATGTTTGACTTTGTAACATCTTTTAATATCTGCAATTTCTGTATAGTGATGTAGTAGAAACAGTCGACGAGCCTCAAGACGACCAGATTGTGTAGACACATCCAATGCTTCTCGCAATAAAGGCGATCTGACACATACTGTCCGTCTTCCTTGGGTTTGATTTTGGCCACGAGCGCCGGTAGAGAGGTGGTCACCTCGTAGGTGCCGTGGTACGTGACTGGAATCACGTCGAAGAAGGATTCTTGTTCTTCCAGGGGATCGAAAGTGTAATCGAGTGGCAAAGTGGTCGTCTTGTCGTTTACATAGCTTTGCAGAACGTGGTGGAGAAAGGGTAGAATTGCATGCACGTTGTGATGCGCCGACGAGTGACGGACGTAGAGGTAGACGTAGTGCTTGGTGCATATCACGTCGTGCACCTTGAGATCGCGCAGCACGTTGATGAAGTTTATGCAGTCCACCACCACTCGGTTGGCGTCCTTGTCCCTGTATGAAAAGACGAGTAGATAGTGGGACGACGAGCTGTCTTTCTGACAACACTCTGCTCCCTCTACGACCGATGGGACGTTGTTTTGAATAAAGAAATTTGCGATAGCGATCCAGATTTTATAGGGTATCGATACCGAAAGGTCCAGTTCGCAATGGAGATAGTCTCGCAGGGTCCTCATTTTTTGTTGCGAAAAGATATCGACGAACGTGACCTGTTTCAACATTTTACTCCCTCGATCGTTCAAATCAGTCACCGAACCTTTTTGTTAATGTATATGGGGGCGTTGGCGGTTTTTTATTTCAAATGCATATGGGCACGTTGCTGTCGTCGTCCTTGCTGTGAGGCGCGGACGTGGATGGATTGGAGAGTAGCGGCGCCATCATCGTGGAGACGTCTTCCATGGTTTTACGGAGCTTGTCTCGCATCGAGTTGGACAACAGGTCGTCGCTGTCGCATATCAGTCTGTTGAGAAACTTTGTTTCGACCGGAACGATGACTTCCACGTCGTCGGCCACGGACCACCTACAACGGGCTAGGAAGAGGCGCAAGGCCGTCGCCGAAACAAACTGCCCCCTAAACAGGTTGTAGCAATTAGACACGGAGGCAAAAGCCTCGAGTAGTTCCTTCTCGAGAAATTTCTTGTTGATGACGCTAATCTCGGTCTCGTCCTCGATAAAGAGCTTGATGAACATGTTCAAAAAGTCGGCCAGTACGCGTTGGTCCACCTCGCACGTGGATATGGCCGCCATGGCGCACTTTGCTCCGTTGGCGTCGCGCGTAGTGTGCATGGCAGTAGACATGGACGTGCACCACGAGATGATGGACGACGACACGCTAGGCGAGATGTGGTGTTCCAGACAGTTGGGCGACTGGACCCAGAGTAGAAAGTCGTTAAAGAAGCGCGAGTCGTACAGGTAGGTGTTTTCGCCGCGGTAGCTCCTGCAGAAACGCGTGTGATAAAACAGGTTGGTGGCCATCCGAAATAGCGCCGTGTTTTAGTAGGTGGCAATTTCTTCCTGGCGCGGAGTGGGTATGCCCTTGGTCATCTTGAGGCACTGTAAGGTGGCCCCAAACATGTCCGAGTCCATCATCTCAAAGTTTAGGCACTGTAGAAACAGACCGAGGTTACGGGGCGAGACGCATCAGGCCTGGCTGTAAAATTTGTTGAGCTCCTGCGTGCCCTGGTCCGACTGTTTGTGCACTTCGACGAAGCGAGAGTCCACGCGCCCGTTGCTCATGCACTGTTCTATGATGGAGGCGATGTTAAGGACCGACACCTCGGTGGCCGGCGCCTTCTCCTTCTGCAGGGCTAGCACGTAGTGGTTGGTACGCGGCACGGTGATCGTGTCGGAACTCTTCATGATGAGCTCGTTGTGGTCACGCAGCGTCGTAGAGATGGCCGGATCGATGATGTTGACGTCGTCCGTGACCCGCTTGGCCGGCATGACGGTCCGGAGCGTCATGTAGTCGGTGTCGCAGCGGTACACTCCGTTCTCGACGTTACTCGTGTACAACCTGTTGCTCTCTTCGACCAGGAGGTTGATGACGTCCTGTGGCTTGTTGTTTTGCGAAAACTTTACGCGAATGGCCCCGACAATGTTTTCGTTGACGGTGTGTGGCTGCGTGATCCTGTGCACGAGGCTGAGACCGTTGGCCACGTCGAGCCAGTTGTGGCCCATGGCGCTCTCAAACTGAAAGATGGGGTTGCACTTTACGCGCACCGCCGCGTAGTTGCACAGGGATACTAGCATGACCGCCGTAATCTTGGCTGCCGTCCTTGCGCCCACCGCCATACCGCGAGTCGCCTCGCGCGCATGGGAAAATATCTCTTCGATGTAGAGGAGTAGCAGGCGCAGAATGGCAGTAGCGTACGCGTCCACGTACGGCTTCAGATCCCTGATGACGCGCTGAGTGGTCGACGAGGAAGAGGTTTTCCTAAGTATGTTGAGACTGTTTCGTACGTATTCGATTCCCATTACGCAGTGAAATACTGTATTGTCATTCAGGAGCGTTTGGATGGCCATCTGATCCATGTCGACCGTCATCAGTATGTTACTACCGAGCTCGAAAACGCGAAAGAGCATATCTGCAACCGGTTCCACATCTCCGTTGGTCAGGAGCGTCGTGCGCGCCTTGGTAATGTGCTGCATGAGTTTCTTGGACGAGTAGCCGAGTAAGGTCGACGTGTCGTTCGGGAGCGTGGGCACGTATTTATCGCCATCTCTCCTGTAAGACACGTTTTGATTTCCCCGCTGCCGGAATACGGGTAATAAAATATCGGTGGCGTCTTCGTGATTCACCGAGTGTTGACATCGTCCCTTTTTCAACAGGTCTAAAAAATTTTCTGCGACAGACATTTTTATAATAAACAAAATTGCTACCGCCTATGGGAGGTCGACTCCGCTCCCAGTCGAGGTCAACCTAGATATGGAGAGAATATATATTGCGCACCGAGTAGAGGGCTCCTCTCATTATCGTCGCTATGGCGCACCTCGTTACGGATCCCATAAGCAAGGAAGTCGTGCGTCGCTTCAAGACGTTCGCCGAATGGCGACTTCGCACCAGAGCCACGCCTCGAGACTTTGCCTATGCCGGCCTAGAATATTGCGCTGACCGGAAACACATCTACTGTCGGCACTGCAAATTTCAAGTCGCCGAACAGGACTGGGAGACGCTCACGTTTCACCCGATGGACCTTCACCGCCGAATGCCGTGCAAGTTTCTCGAGCAGTACAGGGACCCGCGGCTGAACGTAGCAAGGATCGTGTCCGTCTTGCCGAGCTACTCTCACCCGGTCTACAAGAGATACGTCGACGAGAAGATTCGAGCCAAGACCTTTCACGATGTTCGAGGCCCTGCGTTCGCCAAGGCCGGCTTTTTCTGCTCGCACGACGACGAGCAGGGCTACCTCTCCCGCGAACAGATAGTGACCCGCATATTCGTTTGTTTCTACTGCGGGGTGCAAGTATTTTCGATCCTCGACTGCGAAGAAGACGATCCGTGGCTGCTACACGCCCGCAGGTCCCCCAATTGCGTGTTTCTACGAGTGAACAAGACCTATTACTACGTGCACGATGCAGTCGAAAAGTTTTACAGGAGCGAGATGTACTGGGCGTCTCACTTTCCCGAGATCGACGATCTCGTCAAGGAGCCAAAGTTCCGCAACAGGACTATGAGTACTCTGTACACGGCCAACCTGACGCATCCCTTGAACGTATCGGCGATGGTGAGTGCCATTCGGAGCAGCAAGGCGACTCCGTTGGGCAGTCACACTCTGTTTGAGCCAGTGAACGCCCTTCCTTCGTTCGATCACAAGGCTATCGGTAGGTGGGGTAACTTTGTGATAGATAGCGCGATCTGTGATACGCACTATTCCGCAATAAAGTCACGAGACGAATCAACTAAGAGGTGCATCGTATGCATGAAGGCTCCGGCTAACATTGCCTACTTGCCGTGCGGACACTGCGTGTCGTGTTTCGACTGCACCATATTATTCAAACATTGCAAGGCCCGTAGACTCAAAATCGACTTTATTTCTAGAGTCTACTTTGCTTAAGAACATGTCTTTCTACTGGAGACTGTTCGACCACGACCCGACTGTGGCCAAGGTGATGTCCGACTTTAAAACTTTTGCGACGTGGCCTTTGCGCAACAGTACCCTCACACCCAAGGACTTTGCCATGGCAGGACTCGCCTACGATCCGGAGAAGCGGATTCTCAGCTGCTCGATGTGCCAGCAAAAGACTCAACTCTCTACTATCGTGGCCTCGGACGAAACACTTCCCCAAGGACTGCACGAATCCGACTGTGACGCACCGCTACGCACGCTGAGTCCAGACGTCTCGGCGGTGGTGACCGAACGAGCGCTTGCCTTTAGGCCCGAGTTTCAGACTTACACTGCGAGGTTCGCCTCCTTCGACGCTCGGCCGAAAGAAGAAGACGTCTTTGACGTGGATTACATGGCATCTGCGGGATTTTATTACCTGACCGATCGGACCGTGGAATGCTTTTGTTGCGGACTTCGGTTGCTTTCGTGGGAAGCCGACTACGACGACCCAGTCGAGGAACACGCCAAGTACAACCCTCGCTGCCCCTATCTTCGATTGTGCGCGAGCGTAACCTACATCATGGAGGTGTCCGACGTGTATAGAAATAGCGATTTATTTTGGTTGCTAGAATATACCAAGGACATTGAGTTTGTCTCAAACAAATACAGCCTACACTTTATAACAGCATTGGCCACTTCCAAGTTTGATCTTTCCTGTCCGAACAAGCTAAAGTCCTTTCTCGAAAACAGCGATTCTTTTTCGGCGCTGAGCGTAGGACGTCCGTATCCCACGCGCATCGACAAGACGAGCATCTCCATGAAGCGGTCCGATCCGTCCACGACGATTTGCGTCGTCTGCATGAACTGTCCGGTGTGTATAGTTACTTTGCCCTGTGCCCACGCCGCCTTATGTTTAAATTGTCTATTTCCAATGATTTACAATTCGAGAGAGCAATCTGTGTGTTGCCTTTGTAAATCTGCAGTGAGTGGAATGTATCGAATTCATTAAATAAACTATTTGTACTGGCACTAGTGTAGTGTGCATGCAAAAGAACGATTCGTGACTCAAAAATATAAGCACGCGAAATATTTATTTTCAAGCATAACTCAGTCGTCTTCTTCGCCCATTGAGTCCTCTCCTTCGTCGTAGTTGAAGGTGTTTAGGACGATCGGACCCAGCATTCTGTCGTCGTCCGATTCGAGATATTCGTCGGCGTCACTGTCGTAGTCGTCACTGTAGCCGTCGTCACCGTCACCGTCGTCACTGTCGAGGTCTTGGTACTCGATGTCACCCACAACACCGTCCACACCTTCGATAACGTCTAGGTCGGTTGGCGCAATGTTTCTTAGTGACGGAGACACTGTGCTAGAAATACACAAAGTGTATTCACCAAGGTAGACGTCCTTGTTGGGGACGTCTCTAGCGGTGAGTAGTCAGTCTTCGATGCACGTTGAGAAATTGGTGAAGCGTTTCTCGGCGTATAAATCCGAGTCCGGTCATGCAGAGGCTCCGTATGCCAACGTCGATGATCCTCTTTTCTGCGAGATACATCAAGGCTTCGTCGTCTAGGTCTAGGCACGATCAATCTGCAAGTGAGTCAAATTAGGTAGACCGTCCGCTAAGCACTTTACAGAGTCGTTGGTCAAGCCGGGTGCGTGACGTAGGAGCAAAGTCTTGATGTTCGGGTAGAAACGAACCAAATCACTGACGTGGCGGTCTCGCAGCATTGGATAGTGCACCAACTCCAAGAATGTGATGTGCGTAGGAAAGCTTCTTAATATTGAAATTTCGGTTTACGCACAGTGAATTTGCCCTTCCACGTTGTCCCAAGCGTAGCCCTCTTCTTCGTGGTATATACTAAGCACCACTGTTTTCCAATCCACCGCGCTTGACACTCTGGACTGAGCGAACACTTGTACGCAGGTGTCGGCCAGCGGGAGAGATGGGGACCTGTCTAGTCGAGCCATTGTCGCTTTGGGTTATAGGGTAGTAGTCGTGTCGTGTCGTGATGTCGGGGGAGAGGGTAGGGTTAGCTTTGCTGTAAGCGTAGTACGTGCGAGTACATATATATATATATACCCTCACTCGCTATCTGAAAACGGAGATAACGTTTCGCTACAAAAAACAAAATCGTACATTTCCTGACTCAACTGATTCGAAGCGCAAAAGACAAAGTGCGTCACGTTATCTTTAGAGGCGAAGAGTTCCGTCGTTATCACCAAGATAGCGTATATAGATTCGTTGTTCTGCAATATCACTCGAAGGACAGCTCGACTGGCGTTTCTTATTCCAGTCAGACACAAACTCTTGAGTCGACGCAAAGGAGCCAGATGAATCCATCCCTCGTTCCTGATACGGCCACCGTTGTTGCTGATTTGAAGATGTTCGAGAGATTGAGCGTAGGTCGCCAAGTATTGTAGAGCAGAGTTTGACAATAGGGGGGCGTTCCTCAGGAGTATGGTCTTGAGGTGCGTATACGTACAAACAATGTACAACAATTGTGCGTCCTCCAAGGTCGGATAGTCGACAAGGTCCAAAACGGTCAGAGCGTTCGCGGACACATGAGAAAGTTTACAAATTTCGGAGAACAGGACGACCCTCTCTCGTTCAAACTCTTCCTCATTTGAGTTTTCCGAATAAACGTTGGCCACTACTCTGCTCCAGTCGAAGGTTCGCGATTGATCAAACTTGGTGGCCTCGCGAATCACTTTGGACACGCTGGATGCTACTCCGGTCATGTTCTACGTTTGTCGACGCGCTTCGGCAGGCGCGCGTATATATACGTACGTTTTGTGTATGTAGAAAAATAAAGCCTCTCGAATGATTGTTTGTTTATTTCAAAAAAGACACGTACTAGACGTTGCGCAAAGCTCGCATAATGTGATCGCTTTCGGTGTAGTATCTCTTGTACTTGTAGCGCCTGATCTCGTCACTGACGTCGTCGTCACCGTCGTCACCGTCTTCAGCGTCGTCGTCGCTATCCACGTTGCGCTCAGCGTAGTCGTCGTCCGAATTTCCGTGAAACTTGGGCTCATTATTATTATTATTATTATTTGTCTCGTACACCGTCCGTCTGGTACGCAGAGTCGATTTGTAGCGGCCTCCGCCGGTCGAATGGAAGAAGCTATCCGTGGACGGACCCAGCGGTCTCTTTTCCGAGTCGTCCACGATCCTGTAGTTGGGGCGATTGGAAACGCGATACTTGAATTCCTTTCGCACGTTGTCGCGCGCGTTTGGACGAAACTTTGCACCAGACTCTCGGTGCACGATGTTGTCGGAATAATACGTGTCGTGCGTGGGCAATTTTGTAAAGTCGCCGTTTATTGTCCTATACAACTCGCCTAGCTCGACCATCTCGTAGGCCACGACTATGGTTTCCAGAAAGGACGGCGGTGGGTCGCGAATCACGTCGATCCACTGCCCCACCTTGATCGAGCGGCTGGTGACCACGTCGTGAAACTTGCTAGATATCTTGTCAATGTTTACGTCCACCAAGACTCCCGAAACGTAGGGCGAATGATTATCTCCGGTGGTCCTACCGACTTTGGTTTCCAACAGGGCTGCGCCGTCGCTTCTCGCTTTAAACACGGGATAGAACGAGTTAGATCGAATAGCCTTGGCCGTTTCGGCGTACTCCCTTCCGCACATGACGTCGCCCTTCTTGTTACGCACGGGCACTATCGAGTACATGTCATTCAACACGTGAACTGGAAATTGATTGACGAAAATTGGGGCGCTGCGCTTAAAGACCTGAAAGTCTCTGATCACGTCGTTGGCAAGCTTTATGAGACGGTTCTTGTCCGACCGCAACCCCTCGTGAGCGCTCGTGAGAAACCTGAGCAGGCTCGGCGGGAGTTGGTCGAAAGAATAATCCACGCGCACTTGATACATTTTTTTATTACACGGGATACATGTACTTGGAGTCGCTGCTGGCGTTTCTGGACATTGTTCGCCTACCGACACTGACGCTGCGACCGAGTCGGCCTCGGTTGATGGAAATGCTACGGCTCCTCCTGTTGCCGACGCTGCGACTCCTCTTCCTTCCTCTTCTTCGACCCGAGGAGAGAACGCTCCTACTCCTACTCCTCCGCCGCGCGACGCTTCCGCTCCTGCTCCTCCGCCGCGCGACGCTTCCGCTCCTGCTCCTAGTCCTCCGCCGCGCGACGCTCTTGCTACGACTCCTCCTCGTTCTTTGACTCGATGGTCGAATCTTGTCGAGGATCGCGTGAGTTATCAGCGCGTGCCTGGCTCGATTGATCGGACATGACGCCGGCAGTCGGTGTTTGCGAGCAAAGGCCTGAATTAGTTTCCCCAATAAAAGTTTCAGGTAGGTTTGACTCTGTCCTCGTTTAACCCGCAGGGAGCCGAGAATGCGCCTTTGATCTTCCTTGGTGAAATGTTCGAGGCGATACGGCTTTCTCGTATCGAGTCTACGACCGTTCCTGTTGCATCTCGAACACTTTGTTCTGGCGGTTCGTTTCGAGAAACCGCACTTGGAACATTTGACCATTTTTATTTACTCGTTAAAAGCCATGCCTCTCAACAGAGCCTCGACATTTTCTGGAACGCGCGTCGGAAGACGCTCTTTGTTCTTGAGTTTGTTCACGTAAGAAGAGACCTTGACGGCGATGGCGTTTTCGCGAAACGTTGTCGAAAGCGGGTGCTTGGTGACAGAGTTGTGGGTGACGACTCCCTTTTCAAAGTGTTCGCGGACGTCGCGGGGTATCTTTCTAAACTTGTAGCGTTTGGCCAGAACGTTTGTCGGGTACTGCGATATGTCGTACTGACGCTGCTTACAGTATTGTACGATCGCCTTTCTCAGAAGAAGGTTATTTAGCTGAGTCTTCAATTTCGGATTAGGAGTAAAGGACTTTTCAATTTCCAATCGCATGTCTGTCGGTAGACTACTAATGTCCGGGACTTTTGTCAGGGAATAAAATCCCTCACCCGTCTTCTTTGTCCGGCGGGCGCCGGTCCGTCGACGCTTATTCTTCATTCTCTCGAAACGAACGAACGTGGATATGTTTTCAAACAGAGCGTCTCATAGGGCTCTCGTAGGTTTTTTTTGCTCGTCGTCCATGATCATTCGGATGGCCGTTTGAATCCGCAAGTATCGCAACACGTCGCCCGTGTACAGGTGTTGATATGGTTTATAAACGACGGCAGTGTGTTCCCAAATGTCTTCACCAATCACAAAGTCCTCGATGAATTTCCTCAATATTTTTTTCTGCGAGTCCGATTCCATCATTTTTATAATTGTAGTATCGAGGGCCCTCCCTCGTAATCCATCACCGCATCACACAACGCTCGAGCGTTCAAGTCGCGATCTCTGGACAGTTCCTCGGCCAGGCTCGGTTCTCGTCCATACTTTTCTTTAAATTCGACTCGCCACTGCCGCTTGCAGATTTGCTTCTCCACGATGTCGACCCGTTCGTAGCACTCGACGTCGATTTTGTTGTCTTTCAACACGACGTTCATGACCCTGTAGTCGTCTCGGCGCAGCACAAAATTTATAAACTCGATCACGTTGCGAAAGGCAACGTCCACCCTGGTCATGCGCTTAACTGCCACGAGCGCCTTGTAGAGGAATTCGCGTTGGCGCAACGCGCCGAGTTCCTCAAAGGCGCGTTCGAGTTTGTAGGCAAAACCCTGATCTACCGTGTAATGGTTTAAGGTCTCGATCGTCATAGGGCCCAAGATTTCTCTAAACTGTCGCCTGATGGCTTCCACCTTGTCCGCGTTACTTTCGGCCAGTTCAAAATTGTATTGCGGAACGTGAAACGGCGTCACGCCGGAATACCTGGGGGTTTCTATAGCGCTCGATGCCGGTGACTCCATCATTCCGTATTCTTCGTTTGTAAACAACATTGCGCGGTCAGAGGCGTCGTCCAATTCCGAGTCCCTTTTCTTTCTAGCTGCGGGATGGGTAGGCGACGAAACGGGTGGTGGAGACGCAGACGACGACGAGGCGCTATAACTATCGAGTACCAGATACTCCGCGTCTTCGTCATCAGAGAATATGGGTGGTGGTGGTGGTGTTTGAGCTGCCCTCGCGGGTGGCGCTTGGGGTGGTGGTGGTGGTTTTTGAGCTGCCCTCGCGGGTGGCGCTTTTGCCGGCGGTGGCGGTGGCGGTGGCGGTGGCGGTGGTGGTGGTGTTTGAGCTGCCCTCACGGGTGGTGCTCGGTGGGGTGGCGGTGGTGTTTAAAAATAATTTGGCATAAATAAGTGCTTTTTAGAGGCCTAGAGCTCTCTAAGAAGCCTCTATGAGGCCTAGAGGCCTTCTCTGCAAACCACTTCTCAAATCGCTCTAATGACACACCAAAGATGACAATGTCGCACTTAAAGTGTACCTTGTAAACGGAACCTTTTCGCCCAACTGGGAGTCCATGGCATTCATTTCGTCCTTCTATGGCATTGAACATGTGACATGACACCTGCGATTCTCATTACATTTTTTACGTAACGGATTTCTTTTAATCCGTTACTTTTTTATTGAAGACCCCCCCCCCCCCCACTTTTTTTTTTCTAAAGGAAGGGTTGTTTTTATTTTGGTAAAGTCGAGCTCAGTGACACTCTCACGCGCAAAGCGAGGCTTGGCACCCTTCAGTTCCGCAAAACCATTTTTGTTTTCAACACCAAGCCCCTAAATTTATATTTGTTTAGACCCTAACAACAATGTAAAAAAAAAAGAAATAAAAAACATTTTTACACAAAAAAAGGGGGGGGGGGAGTGGGGTCAAGTTATATCCGCTTTTTTTAGACCCTTTGTTTTTTTCTTTGCTATCGAAGGCGGGAAGAGGACACCAAGTGGGTGTATGCCTCTTTGAAAAGCTCGAGGCGGTAAGTGCACAGACAAGAATTAACAATGTCCTTCTCGGTTTTGAGTGACTACGACCATTTTCATTATGTTACAACACCAGACAATGCTCCGTATACCCTAAAATTCACTAAAAAGAGATGTGATATTTATTATTATTTATTTACATTGTACCTACATCGCCCTGTGGGCATTATTGTAGGGGGGTTTTAGAAAACATTATAACAAGTGGAAAAAGAAAACGTCATTATCATCAATGGACACAACATCTTCCGGGAGATCGTTCCACTCTCTCGCGGTTTTGACAAAAAATGAATTCGCAAAACTGTCAGTCCTGTAAGTGGGAACAGCAACCTTTTTAGAATTATCACAACGGGTAGAAACGTAGGATGGCTCCATAAGATAAGTGGCTTTATCAATTCCTGTTTTGTTGTGAAAGACACGGTGGAAAAATTTTAGTCTTATTTTTTTTCGTCTACATTCGAGTGTTTCCCATCCCAGCATGTCCTTCATATCTGTAACACTAGCATAAGGGTCATAGTTGTTCAGTACAAAACGCGCGGCCTGATTTTGAATTTTTTCTAGTTTATTGATAAGGAAGTCGTGATAAGGGTCCCACACAACGCACGCGTAATCAAGGATCGTTCTTACCAAAGAAAAATAAAGTGTTTCTTTGACGTTTCGCGACGCGGATCTAAAATTTCGACGGATAAAATAAAACATTTTACTAGCCTTTCCGATTGTACGTTCTATATGGCTGTTCCATTTTAGGGAATCCGCAAATAGCACTCCTAGGTAAACATACTCAAACACAGTACATAAAACAGTCCCGTTGATTAGGTAGCTATAAGAATCGTGCAGCTTACTTCTCGAGAAACGAATATGTTTGCATTTACTTAAATTTAGGCTCATTTTCCATTGATTGCACCAAGAAGATAAAATATTTATGTCGGTTTGTAACATGGCCAGGTCGTCTGACGTGTTTATTTCCCTGTACAATACGCAGTCGTCGGCGAACAGTTTAATATGAGACTGTATGTTTTCGGTGATATCATTTATGTATATGAGAAAAAGTAAAGGCCCTAAGACACTCCCTTGTGGCACTCCCGACGTAACCCGAGTTGATGTGGATATAGTACCGTTTAAAACAACCCGCTGCTCACGACCTTCTAAATAATTTTGTATCCAATTCAGGACGTTGGGATCTATGTTTAGCAAAGCCAATTTATACAATAATAACTGATGGGGGACCGTGTCAAATGCCTTTCGAAAGTCTAAGAACACGCAGTTGACATATTTCCTGCTGTCTAGTGATCTGGATATATGATGATAAAATTCTACCAGCTGTGTGTTGCAAGAGTAGCCGCTTCGAAAACCATGCTGTGAGGGGGAAAAAAAGTGTAATGAATCCAGGAACGAGTAAAGGTTACTGTAAATAATGTGTTCAAACAACTTACATGAGATCGATGTCAATGAAATAGGGCGATAATTTTCAACACTGGCTTTAGAACCCGATTTAAAAACTGGTGTAACGTTTGCCATCTTCCAATCCATTGGAACCATCCCCGTCTTTAACGTTTCACTAAATATAACAAAAAGATAACGCGCTATGGATTCACTGCACTTAAGAAAAATAACAGGGGAAATGCCATCAGGTCCGACAGCCTTGGTTGCATCAATTCCGCGCAGCAACTTCACTATACCATTCATGTCAATTGTAATGCTGGGCATTACGCTTTGCTGCGTTCGGCAAGCCACTGGAGATAGCAGATGCGGAGAGTCTTCCGAAAATACCGACTTAAAATACGAGTTAAAGCATTCAACCTTCGCGTTATCAGACACCACAGTATTACCATCAACTTTCAACGCAGGAATAGAAGTGTCTTCCTTTCTGTTCGCGTTGACGAACTTCCAGAATTCTTTAGGGTTTCTTTTTAGATTTTCGTTAAACTTGTCAAAGAACACTTTTTTGCTTAATTTTATTTGCAATTTGAGAAGCCTGTTAATCTCTTTGTACTTCTGCTCAGTTTGGACTGACCAACTTTTGGTCAGCGTTTTGTAAGCACGTCTCGCTTTACCTATAAGTCTGCGAATTTCTACATTAAACCAAGGCTTATTTTTTTTACGCTTCCTCATTTGTTTCGATGGAATATACACCTCCGCAAGCTCTAATATTTTATTTCTAAAAGCGTGCCATATAGTTTCGACGTCACTATTTTCGGACAGACGACTAAATGTATAAAAATAGGATTCAAGCTCTGCATCGATCGCTTCGTAATTACCTTTGTCGTACAAAAATACTTTCCGTGGACACTCCGCTTGCTTTCGCGTTCCGGGCTCCGAGAGCTTAGCAACAACCGCGCAGTGATCACTTATGCCGGGAAGTAGAGTGACCTCGGATACAACGCCAGGAAAATTGCATAAAATTAAATCCAAGACAGAATTTTCTCGCGTCGGTTTTTTAACATATTGTTCAAATCCAAATACACTGATTATGTCAGCAAACATCGAGTAAGCGCGGGGTCCATCTGTATCAAGAACTTCATCAGACCAGTTGAACCCTGGTAGATTAAAGTCTCCTCCCAAGAATACACTATCTGGAATTGTCGTCAACAAGTCACCCAATTTGTCTATCGAGTACGCATCACTATCTGGGGGGCGATAAAATGTACCAAAAACTAAAGTGGTCCCCTTAGGTAAAACTACTCGACACCATACAGACTCAGTGTCGTTTTCGGAAAAAACTAGTTCACTACTACTCCAGTCTGATTAAATTAGCAAACAGACACCACCTCCGTGTCCATTTCTATCTTTGCGGTATACGGAAAAACCAGGGGGAAAAACTTCGCAATTAGAAACCGAGTCATGCAGCCATGTCTCCGTTCCCATAATAACTTTGGGTCTGATTGTCTCGACTAGAGATAAGAAATCGTCCACTTTATTTTTTATGCTACGGAAGTTCACAAGTAATACCGAGACATCTACATCTGATAAAGCGGCATTTTGACAGATATCTCTCGCACGGCGTCAATCCTGCTGAATCGGTGGAGCCTTTTTACGAACGAGTATAGGCATGCTCTGTTCGAAATCCCAGGCGTACGTGTCTCCGTTGATAACGAGCTTGTCGTAGGTAAGATATACTTTGTTGTTCTTATCTTGTCGTTTTTCTTTGGAATAGTCCCATAGCTTGCGCCTTTTCTCTCTGACAAGTGCACTGAAATCCTCGGAAACGCTGTAAGCAGAGTTTTTGAATTTAAAGGCGTTGCGCATGATGTTGTCACGTTCTTTCCAATTTTGAAAGCTTGCTATAATCGGCCGACAGCTACGTTCCTTGAAAGTACCTAGACGGTGGGCCCTTTGTATTGAGGTGACATCAATATCTAGATTACCTTTACAGATGCGTCTAACAAGAGTTTCTGACTCCTCCCATGACTCTCGCACTGTGTCATCAGGTATGCCAAAAAACACCAAGTTTGTCCTGCGGCTCCGATTTTCAAGGTCGTCTAGTCTTGCTTCCAGCTTTCATCTATTTACTTCAACATCTGAGATCCGTTGTTCAAATTGCTCGTTTTTTGCATTTAAATTCTCTATTTTATTGTGAATCTCCGTTTGTTTGCTTTCAATAACATTTAACTTCGAGAGGACACTTCTTTGACCGTTTTGCAGTTCAGTGAACATAGATTGTATGAGTTCCATTTGTTCCTTAGTTGCAGGACCAGGATTAGTTTCTACGTCGCCACTTAACAACAGCAACAAGAGCACAAATAACACTTTTTTCCTGTAATATAATTTGCGTCTATTACCCACTATGGCATGAAAGTGCTTATTCCTAGTGCTCGCAATCAAGAATAGTTGGTTGGGTGGAGCTGGCAGGAAACCACCAACAGATCGGAAAGGGCCAGATGGCAAATCACTAACCTGCATCAAGAAAGGTTTTCGTGAGCACATGGCCTCGTTCCTGCCAGCTCCGAAACCCAGGGATTCCGTGACACGCGTCGGCTTATATGCTGACTCGAACAGTCCACTCGGTTGACTGGAGGGTGGGACGGGTGGAACCCTGAAGAACTCCGAAGAACTTGGAATCGTCTGACGGGAAGGCTGATAGGTCGTTGACGTCGCATGCAGCTGACGCTGCGCTGACGTTGGACTCAGGAAACTGATGCCAGCGGTGACGAGGCAGAACGGAACAATCGCCTGCATCAAGAAAGGTTTTCGTGAGCACATGGCCTCGTTCCTGCCAGCTCCGAAACCCAGGGATTCCGTGACACGCGTCGGCTTATATGCTGACTCGAACAGTCCACTCGGTTGACTGGAGGGTGGGACGGGTGGAACCCTGAAGAACTCCGAAGAACTTGGAATCGTCTGACGGGAAGGCTGATAGGTCGTTGACGTCGCATGCAGCTGACGCTGCGCTGACGTTGGACTCAGGAAACTGATGCCAGCGGTGACGAGGCAGAACGGAACAATCGCCTGCATCAAGAAAGGTTTTCGTGAGCACATGGCCTCGTTCCTGCCAGCTCCGAAACCCAGGGATTCCGTGACACGCGTCGGCTTATATGCTGACTCGAACAGTCCACTCGGTTGACTGGAGGGTGGGACGGGTGGAACCCTGAAGAACTCCGAAGAACTTGGAATCGTCTGACGGGAAGGCTGATAGGTCGTTGACGTCGCATGCAGCTGACGCTGCGCTGACGTTGGACTCAGGAAACTGATGCCAGCGGTGACGAGGCAGAACGGAACAATCGCCTGCATCAAGAAAGGTTTTCGTGAGCACATGGCCTCGTTCCTGCCAGCTCCGAAACCGAAAGTGCTATTGCCACAAGCATCCTCGTTCGTTGCTGCACACTTATCTTCTCGAAAACAGGATGTATTTTTTCTTCTGTTTCTTTCACCTTACCCTGTTTTAAAAGCTACTTAATTTTTTGTAGTCCAACTTCTAGAGTTGGCCCACTTCATTTGTGAATTCCAGCCAGGTTATCTGCATCTCAGTCACCCCTTTTGTGAGTCAGCTTTTTGTGAGCACTTTCCAAAATGGTAATAGTCTTCCTTTCTTCTTCTTCCCGTTTTTCCCCCAGCAGGACGCATCTTATCTCAAGCAGATATTCTTACAAATAAAACATAATGGTGGCTGACGTAGACTTGATATTCTGGGCTTGGGGAGAGAGTGAAACTCAAGAGTGGGGCCATAGCGCGGCTTACTTCGTTCTATGCCCTTCGCTGCCCGTGGCATCAGCGGACGTCTATCTGGAGAACACCGGAGTAAAATGCAGTCGATTCGTGCTCCGTGCGTTTTTAAACGGCACCAAAAAAGGTACACACGACAAAGGTGCGTTTACATTTCCTTGTTTTAACCGACGTTCTAATTAATTGTTGTTATGAATTTCCTTTTTTTCGATTACTATATTCATTTACTGGAAACTTTTATTTATTCACCAACGTCTCAACCGAGGCTCGACCTGTTCAGAACCAAAGGAAGGAGAATATCGAGCCAAACCTTATTTACTATTTAATTATCACCTTACTGTTACAACGATGTTTTGCTATTGCCTGGCAATATATGCCGGTATAGTAAGATGGGCACAAATCAACTCTTATTCTAGTTTTGGCTAGATGTATGATGACTTCTACAGCTTTGCGATTTTGAGAATCGAGAATTTTAGTCGATCGGTCCGATCACTCCATTAACGATACCCGATACTCCGCAGCCGCCTGTCCGCAAATGGGACAGGTTGCAACAATAAAAACTTGAATAACCCTCTTCCTTTTGTTTCTTAATTGAAGGCAATATTCTTGAAAGTAACGCCACGAAAGTAACGGATTACTTTTTGGGGTAACGGTCACTTACTTTTATGGAAGGGTAATTGTAATTGTAATAAATTACAATTTAGCCTTGAGTAATTGTAACTGTAATTCCTTACTATTTTTCAGTAACGTGCACAAGTCTGGTGACAACCCTCGACGCAGCGAAAACGGAACTCATACGGTTTTGTCGGGGGGAAACGAAACCCATTTTCGGCTGCCCACTTGCTCATTCTGTTGATTGTCAGTTGCAGTTGACGTTCGCAACTATACAGGTTGCAAGAAGAAACTGAAATTTGCACATCATCCACATACAGAGAATAAGACACCGTCGGTGGAATATTTAGAATATTGGTGCTGAAACCCGGGACAAATATTCATTAAAATAACTGGACGATATTACTGCTTAAAGCATGGAAATGGGCTTAATGGGACGATGCCCGTTTCAAGCTCGCACCGTGGCGAGAGAGGTTGGGACAGTCAGGTCAGGGAGGTTGGGACAAAAGGCGAAAACGAATCACCTGACTAGGTCCCCAACCCCCGTTACAGCACTCAGCAGCAGGGCACAGGAAATGAATCAAAAACAGCATAAATAAAAAATAAAACAATATCTGAGAAGATAAAAATATGACACTCAAAAATTTACAATCTATTTTGATGTGAACTATAATAGGAATACACACTAGGCACATTGAAGTATACCGTAAGGTATTTTTTGAAAAGAAACACGGACGCTATTGTCTGGGCTAATTCGAATACACAATAATTTCTGTTAAGAAGATCGGGTATCTGGTAGGATGTTTTTTGTGTACCGTAATTAGTTCTTATTTTAGGTTTTGAAAACTGCTGGTGTCTCAAATTGTAATTTGTTTGCTTAAATAAATATGTTTCGTAAAATATTGCGGGATTCCTGTTTATTTGAGTATGAACTAAAATTGCAACCTTTAGGCAAAAAAGATTGTCTAACGTTAATATTCCATGTTTAATAAAGCTAGGGGAAGTCGATTTAGTCCAAGGTAAATTATCAATTGACCTAACTGCGCGTTTTTCCAATGTAAATAATTGCTTAATATTACTTGCTGTAGTCGTCCCCCAGACCAATAAACAGTAATGCAGCCTCGAGTTCACCTGCTATTTCGCAGTATCGCCGCAGTTCTGGTGGTAGAGCTCTCATGCTCGGCCAGCCCGTAGAGCAGAACTCCAGACGTGACAGGATCCTTCCCGATCTCATCTTTGATCCGTGAGAGCGTGTTGTTGACGCAGGTAACAGATCCACTGTGAGAACTTCATACTCCAGAACGTAATGACACCATGGGTATCCGAAATCTTTGGAATACACTCAACGCAGTTTGCAACCGCGCCGTCGAGGAGGAACTGGCACCGTTACTCGAGTCTTAGTTACAGCTCTTGGACGACCCCGGCAGTAACGTCGAGACGGCCACGAACCTCGTTTTGCGGACGTATTTTTCGCCTACGCCGTCTGCGCGTCACTTCGACTATGAGAGCGTGACGTCCTCGTTCGTGATCGGAGAGTCGGCGCGCATTCAAGTCGTCGTCGACGGTAACATTTTTCTACACCACTGCAAGCACTCGCTGACGGACCACCATCTCAAGACGTTTGCGGACAAGATCGATGCCGCACGAGCGATCGCCGACCGAGAGGAACGAGAGCGAGCGTGGGAAGCCTTGAACCTCGAGCTTATCAAACACTACGTTGGCGAGACCAACGGAGATCTGGTTGGCGATTACGTCGAAGACTATATCGAAGACGACGCGTTTGCTCTTCGAGATTTGGACTGGGACAAGGAGTACGAGGCGAGACCGGGCGAACGCTGCATCCGATACGACGCCTTCTTCACGACGGTGTTTCATTGCATATCTAGGACGGTCAAGAGGGTCGTCAAGGGGCTGTCCCTAAACAGGCGTGTGGAAGTTGACGTGGTGGTGGTGTTTGACGGAATGTCGCCGACGGTAAAGTGGCCCGAGCAGTACAAGCGTCGCAGTAGAGAGCTGGCCAACGTCATCAAAAACTCGTCTGGCGAGGACACCAAGCGAGTTCGGACCATCGAAAATTCGAGACTGCAGTCTGTCCTGAACGGAAGGCTCAAAAACTTGGCACGCTACGGCAAAGACGCCATGGCCACAATCTGCCGATTGACCGCGGCCTCGGACGTGATGCAGCACGTCAGGGAATATGCCACGCTTCTCGAGAACCCACTCTACGCCAAAGAGGTGATTGACGGCTACTCGAACGAGTCGGCTGCAGCGTACCAACTCTCGTCCTTTACGATCCTGCCGCCGTTCTACGTGGGGGAAGGCGACGTCAAGGTCGTGGACTCTTTAATGTGTCCGCCGCCAAACGACGAGCGCTGGGACGTGTCCGTCGTTGTCACCGACGATTCGGACATTCTCCTCGGGGTAGCTGCGGTCGTGGAAAAGATACCCTCGCGAGACGTCTACGTGTATTCGGCCCGCCAGTACAGCGAGAGTAAGAAGCGACAGGACGAACACAGGTTCGAGTTTGGCGGCGTGCAACACGCCGTGTCTCTGCTGGACAAGTCTCTTCCCAGTCGTCAGGCGGGTTACTACCACATCAAGGACGATTTCT